AGGTATCTTGTACAAGTCAGTATTCAAATTAAATTCAGATGAGATAGACTATTTTCCCTCTTAGTTGTTCCAAGTCAATGCAGAGAGACTGTTCTTAAAATGGCTCATGACCTGCCAGTGGCCGGACATTTCTCGCATCGTAAAACCTTAAATAAAATTAGGGAAACCTATTTTTGGCCAAAAATGTCCTCAGATGTCACTACCTATTGTAGATTGTGTAAAGTTTGCCAACTGTCATCTTCCCGAGGTACCAGGCGAGTACCTATGGTCAAAATGCCAGTCTTTACGGTACCTTTTGAAAGCGTAGCTATTGACATCGTTGGTCCTTTATCACCACTTTCATCTGGGGGACATAGATATATATTAACATTAGTTGATTATGCTTCGAGTTTCCCTGAAGCCGTACCCTTAAAGACCATAACTACTACAGAGGTGGCTGAAGCACTTTTGTCCATCTTCTCCAGACTGGGCATCCCTAGAGAAATTTTGTCTGACCGTGGGACACAATTCACATCTGACTTAATGCAACATCTATACCACACCCTATCATCCCAGCTGTAATGGGAGGATTGAGCGCCAGCATTCGATTCTCAAGTCCATTTTAAGGAAACTTTGCTCCCTTAAACCTAAGGAGTGGCATCGTTACCTACCCTGTGCTTTGTTTGCCATGAGGGAAGTTCCCAGTGACTCTTTGGGGTTTTCACCTTTTGAACTTCTCTATGGTAGACAGGCCAGAGGCCCATTGTCCATCCTTCATGACTTATGGACTAATGAGGAGGTAAATGCTGAGGTTCAGTCTTCTTACCAGTTTCTCCTTGACCTTAGATCCAAACTTGAGGAGACCTCTGACATAGTTTTGAAAAATCTAAGCTTGTCAATGGACCAGTACAAAACTTATTTTGATTCCAAAAGTCAGAGGAGAAGTTTTAAAGTAGGGGATGAAGTTCTGGTACTTTTGCCTATCAAGTCAAATAAATTATTAGTAGCATGGAAAGGTCCACATAAGGTATTAAAAATTTGTGGGAAAGTTGACTACCTCATAGAAGTCAAGGGGAAACCTAAGCTTTATCATATCAACATCCTTAAGAAATATTACCGAAGAAATTCGATTAACTGCCTTAATAACTTTGACTTAGTTTTTCCACACGAACCTGATAAGACAACTGAAGAATGTAAGGTGTGTGTAATTGACACCTTTAACTTAGACTATGATGAAGAACTACATGACTTGGTGACTCTTGACCACTCGGACGCAACCAACATTAATATTAATGAATCTTTGGATGACCATAAGAGACATGAACTACTTCAATGTTTTGAGTAAACTTTTCAGAGTCTTTATGATATTCCAGGTGTTACCTCCACGGTAGTCCATAGATTGACTTAGTGACGGACAATCCTATCAAACGAAAATTATACCCAGTTCCAGTTCACCTTAGGGATGCATTTGACCGAGAGGTAGACAAATTATTAAAACTAAAGATCATTGAACCTTCAGTATCTGCATATTGCTCACCAGTAGTCATGGTTAGAAGGAGGATAATTTTATATAGACTTGCTATTGACTTCAGAGGCCTTAATGCTATAACTCGGTGGGATGCTGAGCCTATGCCCTTAATAGATAGCGATCTACACAAATTTTATGACGCTTCCTTCTTTTCAGAGATTGATATTGCCCAGGCATATCAAGTAATGTTAGAGCCTTCTTCTAAGCAGTACACCGCTTTTCCTACACACCAAGGACTGATGCAATATAGAACTATGCCCTTCGGTTTGGTAACTGCCTGTGCTACCTACGTGAGACTGATGAGAAAGGTCTTGGGTAATATGCCAAATGTTTCAGTTTATTTTGATAACATTTACGTAATGACATCCACGTGGGGCGAACATATCCAAACATTAACATCAGTTTTGCGTAGGTTACGCTCACATGGCCTCACTGCCAAGCCGAAGAAATGCTTCCTTGGGTATAGCAAGATTAGATATCTTGGACTGATACTTTCTAATAACTCTCTGCAGCCTCTCCCAGTAAGATCAAAGCTTTATTAGAATTTAAATTCCCCAAAACCAAGAAGCTCATGCGTAGCTTTCTTGGTTCTGTAAATTTTTATGTACGGTTTATCCCGAACCTTACTGATCTTACAGGCATCTTATCCGACTTCCTTAAAAAGTCTGTGAAGGAACCTTTTGAACTTTCCGACGTAGCTCGGGAAAAGTTTAATGAGATTAAAAGTATCTTTTCGAAAGACCCTATACTTAAGATTCCAGATATTAATAAAACATTTTGTTTAAGAACTGAGGCCTCCAATACTGGCTTAGGTGCAGTGTTACTACAATACCATGATGGTACTCCCTTCCCTGTATGCTTCCTAAGCCGGAAACTCCTTCCCACAGAAACGAGATACTCCACCATAGAAAAGGAATGTTTGGCTCTTGTGTGGAGTATCTCAAAGCTTAAATTTTATTTACTGGGAAAAGAATTCATTTTAGAAATGGACCACAAACCTTTGATATACCTAGAAACTTTTAAGGGAACCAACAGTCGCCTCTTGAGGTGGACATTGGCACTCCAGGCTTTTAAGTTCCATATTGTGTATATCAATGGTTCATCCAATTATTTCTCTGACTGGTTAAGTCGTGACAGTCAGTAGAAGATTTGTTGCCTTACGCGGCTTCCACATGTTAGAACTTTTTCCTCGCCTATTCTTATTCTCCTTGACTATAAGTCTTGGTATGGGGGAGTGTGAGGGAAAAGTTCAATAGATAGGAGTAGCGAGGGAGTGTATAGTAACAATAGTTTCATTGCTGGCTACTTGTTAAGGTAGGGTAAGTCCAGCTCCTGCTATTTCCCCCCCCCTTTTTTTCCCTCCCCGAAAGTGATAGTTTGATTGCCAGCTGCTTGTTAAGGTAGGGTCAGTCTAGCTCCCGCTATCCCTTCACCTCCCTCTTCCCCCCCTTTCCCCCCTGAAAGGTGACGTGTGGGGCTCTGGTCAAACAGTAAATCACTCGACTCACAGCTCCCAACACTACTGTAAGTACATGCCTGATCATATTTTAGTGGACTTATTGGTTGAAAGCTTCACTTTTGACCAATAATGAACTTAGTGCTTTCAGTCTTTATCTGTTAAATGTTTTAATAATCACCACATCTTTTAGGTATTGTACTTATCATGGAGAGTGATTTCTTAAGCAGTGGGTAATCTGTCTCTCTTTACAGCTTGGAATGACAGAGAGGGTCACCTGCCAACCAACGAGAAGAATAGAAGGAGACGGACTAACGTCCTGAGACGTTCCATGTTTAACCTATTTACCTGTTATGTAAGCCAACACAGGACCTAACCCCTCATCATAGCAGTGGTAACGAACCTGTGTTCCTGTCATCTGAAGGAATTATTCACGGCTACACTCTGTGAAGAATGAGCCGGTGGTGGTCACCAACACCTGCTACCCCCCCCACATCAGCAACGGCTACAATTTCAACAACACTCAGTGTCACCAACACCTGACACCCCATTACCACGATATACCTATATTAGCGTTGAGTTCAAAAGTAATTTTTTTTCATTTCATTTTTCATTTTTCTTTCAATTAGGATACCCATTCATGTTTTATTGTTTTACATTTTCCGTTTCTAAATAATAAAGTGTTTATCATTGTCTGTTATTATTTCTTTTCTATTCATTAATTTTCCTGAGGAGGAGCCAGCCTTGGTAATACTGACTGAAGTTGTTACAGGGCTGAGTAAGCCTTCACAACCCCCGGGGGACCCCGCTGGTCACAGGTGCCCACTCTGACACCTCGCCACGTACCATGACTCGCTGCTGTCTTCCTGACAGGTATTCCTTGATCCATTGTAGTGCCTTCCCTGTTATCCCTGCTTGGTCCTCCAGTTTTTGCACTAATCTCTTGTGTGGAACTGTGTCAAAGGCCATCTTGCAGTCCAAGAAAATGCAATCCACCCACCCCTCTCTCTCTTGTCTTACTGCTGTCACCATATCACAGAACTCCAGTAGGTTTGTGACACAGGATTTCCCGTCCCTGAAACCATGTTGGCTGCTGTTGATGAGATCATTCCTTTCTAGGTGTTCCACCACTCTTCTCCTGATAATCTTCTCCATGACTTTGCATACTATACATGTCAGTGACACTGGTCTGTAGTTTAATGCTTCATGTCTGTCTCCTTTTTTAAAGATTGGCACTACATTTGCTGTCTTCCATGCCTCAGGCAATCTCCCTGTTTCGATAGATTTATTGAATATTGTTGTTAGGGGTACACATAGCGCCTCTGCTCCCTCTCTCAGGACCCATGGGGAGATGTTATCTGGCCCCATTGCCTTTGAGGTACCTAGCTCACTCAGAAGCCTCTTCACGTCTTCCTCGGTTGTGTGTACTGTGTCCAGCACATGGTGGTGGGCCCCACTTCTCCGTCTTTCTGGAGCCCCTTCTGTCTCCTCTGTGAACACTTCTTTGAATCTCTTGTTCAGTTCCTCACATACTTCACGGTCATTTCTTGTTGTCTCTCCTCCTTCCTTCCTTAGCCTGATTACCTGGTCCTTGACTGTTGTTTTCCTCCTGATGTGGCTGTACAACAGTTTCGGGTCAGATTTGGCTTTCGCTGCTATGTCATTTTCATATTGTCTTTGGGCCTCCCTTCTTATCTGTGCATATTCGTTTCTGGCTCTACGACTACTCTCCTTGTGTGTGTGTGTGCGTGTGTGTGTGTGTGTGTGTGTGTGTGTGTGTGTGTGTGTGTGTGTGTGTGTGTGTGTGTGTGTGTGTGTGCGTCTGTGTGTGTGCGTCTGTGTGTGTGCGTCTGTGTGTGTGCGTCTATGTGTGTGCGTCTGTGTGTGTGCATCTCACTCTAACATTTATCAAACATTAATTGCTTCTTCATTCTTTTCCCCCTTATCCTACCTTATTCCTGCCCTCTCCCCTGACATCGTGCATCACCCGTGACACCCCTGCGTCACCCCTGACGCCCTTGCATCACCCGTGACACCCCTGCGTCACCCCTGACACCTCACACAGGGGCGGGGTGAGCGTGGAGATCGAGAAGACACCTTCGAGGACCACCTCTAAACTTTTCCTCACACCTGCCCTCAAGGTAGACTCCGGCAACTACACCTGTAGACCAGACTGTGCCCAGCCTGCTTCTGTTATTGTCCATGTGGTTAATGGTGAGTTGTAATGTTATGTGGTGTGCTATGTGGTGTGTTATGTGGTGTGTTATGTGGGGTGTTATGTGGTGTGTTATGTGGTGTGCTATGTGGTGTGTTATGTGGGGTGTTATGTGGTGTGTTATGTGGTGTGTTATGTGGTGTGTTATGTGGGGTGTTATGTGGTGTGTTATGTGGTGTGCTATGTGGTGTGTTATGTCGTGTGTTATGTGGGGTGTTATGTGGTGTGTTATGTGGTGTGCTATGTGGTGTGTTATGTGGGGTGTTATGTGGTGTGTTATGTGGGGTGTTATGTGGTGTGTTATGTGGTGTGTTATGTGGTGTGTTATGTGGTGAGTTATGTGGTGTGTTATGTGGTGTGTTATGTGGTGCGTTATGTGCTGTGTTATGTGGGGTGTTATGTGGTGTGCTCTGTGGTGTGTTATGTGGTGTGTTATGTGGTGTGTTCTGTGGTGTGTTATGTGGGATGTTATGTGGTATGTTATGTGGTGTGTTGTGGGGTGTTATGTGGTGTGTTATGTGGTGTGTTATGTGGTGTGTTATGTGGTGTGTTATGTGGTGAGTTATGGGGTGTGTTATGTGGTGTTATGTGGTGTGTTATGTGGTGTGTTCTGTGGCGTGTTATGTGGTGTGTTATGTGGTGTGTTCTGTGGTGTGTTATGTGGTGTGGTTATGTGGTGTGTTATGTGGTGTGTTATGTGGTGTGTTATGTGGTGTGTTATGTAGTGTGATACGTGGTGTATTATGTGGTGTGTTATGTGGTGTGTTTTGTGGGGTGTTATGTGGTGTGTTCTGTGTTATATGGGGATCTATGTGGTGTGCTATGTGGTGTGTTATGTGGTGTGTTATGTGGTGTTTTATGTGGTGTGTTATGTGGGGTGCTATGTGGTTCGTTATGTGGGGTGTTCTGTGGGGTGTTTATGTGGGGTGCTATATGGTGTGTTATGTGGGGTGTTATGTGGTGTTCTGTGTGTTATGTGGTGAGTTATGTGGGGTGTTATGTGGTGTGTTCTGTGGTGTGTTATGTGGTGTGCTATGTGGTGTGTTATGTAGTGAGTTATGTGGTGTATTATGTGGTGTGTTACGTTTGTGAGTTACGTAGTGTGTTATGTGGGGTGTTATGTGGCGTGTTCTGTGGTGTGTTCTGTGGAGTGTTATGTGGGGTGTTATGTTGGTGTGTTATGTGGTGTGGTATGTGGGGGTGTTATGTGGTGTTTTATGTGGTGTGTTATGTGGCGTGTTATGTGGTGTGTTATGTGGTGAGCTATGTGGTGTGTTATGTGGTGTGTTATGTGGGGGGTTATGTGGTGTGTTCTGTGGTGTGTTTTTGTGGTGTGTTATGTGGGGTGTTATTTGGTGTGTTCTGTGGTGTGTTCTGTGGTGTGTTATGTGGGGTGTTATGTGGTGTGTTCTGCGGTGGGTTATGTGGTGTGTTATGTGGTGTGTTATGTAGTGTGTTATGTGGTGTGTTATGTGGTGTGTTATGTGGTGTGTTATGTGGTATATTATGTGGTGTGTTATGTGGTGTGTTATGTTGTGTTTTTATGTGGTGTATTATGTGGTGTGTTATGTGGTGTGTTATGTGGTGTGTTATGTGGGGTGTTATGTGGTGTGCTATGTGGTGCTTTATGTGGTGTGTTATGTGGTTTTTTATGTGGTATGTTATGTGGGGTGCTATGTGGTGCGTTATGTGGTTTTGTTCTGTGGAGTGTTATGTGGGGTGTTATGTGGTGTGTTATATGGAGTGTTATGTGGTGTGTTATGTGGGGTGTTATGTGGTGTGTTATGTGGTGTGGTATGTGGGGTGTTATGTGGTGTTTTATGTGGTGTGTTATGTGGGGTTATGTGGTGTTTATGTGGTAGCTATATGTTTTTGTGGTTTTTATGGGGGGTGTTATGTAGGGTGTTCTGGGGTTTGTTATGTGGTGTGTTATGTGGGGTGTTATGGGTGTTTTGTGGTGTTTTATGCGGTGTGTATGTGGGGTTTTTATGTGGTGTGTTTTGCGGGGGGTTTTGTGTGGGTTTATAGGTGTGTTATGTGGTGTTTTATGTGGTGTGTTATGTGGTTGTTTGTGGTTGTTTGTAGTGTGTTATGTGGTTATTATGTGGTGTGTTATGTGGTGTGTTATGGGGTGTGTTATGTGGGGGTTATGGGTGTGCTGGCCGTGTTTTTTTGGTGTGTTTGTGGTGTTTTATGTGGTATGTTATGGGGGTGCTATGTGATGCGTTATGTGGTGTTTTTCTGTGGGGGTGTTATGTGGGGTGTTATGTGGTGTGTTATATGGGGTGTTAGTGCGGTTTTTGGGGGGGGTTTTTTATGTGGTGGTTATGTGGGGTGTTATGTGGTGTGTTATGTTGGTGCTTTCGTGTGTTTGGGGGGTGTTTTGGGGTGTGTTATGTGGTGTGTTACATGGTCTATTTGGGGGTGTGTTATGTGGGGTTTTCTGGGGGGGTGTTATGGGGGGTTTTTATATGGGGGTGTTAGTGGTGGTTATGTGGGGTGTTTGTGGGGGTTATTGTTGTTATGTGTTGTGTTATGGGGGATTTATGTGGTGTGTTATGGGGGGTGTTTTTGGTGTTATGTGTGTGCTATATGGGCTGCTATGGGGGTGTGTTAGCGGGGTTTTCTGGGGGTTTTTATGGGGGGTGTTATATGGGTTTAGTGGTGTTTTATGGGGGTGTTATTGGGGTGTTAGTGATGTTTTATTTTTGTGTTATGTGGGGATGTTATGTGGTGTTTTATGGGGGGTGTTACGGGGTGTGTTATGGGGGGGTTTTATTGGTTGTTATGTGGGGTGTTATGTGGGTGTTTGTGATTTTATGTGGTTGATATTGGGGTTTTTATGTAGGGGTTATGTGGGTGTGTTGTGTTGTTTATGGGGGGTTTATGTAGGGTGTTTGTGGGTTTGTTATGTGTTGTTAGTGGTGTGTTATGTGGGGTTTTGTGGGTGTTATGTGGGGTGTTTTTGGGGTGTTATGGGGGGTGTTGGTGTTTTAAAGTGGTGGTTTATGTGGGGTTTTTGGTTTTGTTTGTTGGGTTTTATGTAGGGGTTATGGGGGTGTTATGTGGGTGTTTTTTAGGGTTTTGTGGGGTGCTGTGATTGTTAGGGTGGTGTGTTAGGGGAGTGTTATGTGGGTGTTGTGGGGGATGTTAGGGGGGGTGTTTGTGGAGTGTTATGTAGGGTGTTAGTAGGGTGTTATGTGGGGTGTTATGTGGGGGGCTATGTGGTGTTATTGGGGCGTTATGTGGGGTGTTATGGGGGTGTTATGTGTTGTGTTATTGGGGGTTATGTGGGGTGTTATGTGATGTGTTATGGGGCGTTTTTATGTGGGGTAGTGGGGTGTTATGTGGGGTGTTATGTGTTGTTTTTATGTGGGGTTTTTAGGTTGTGTTATGTGGGGTTTATGTGATGTGTTTTGTGGGGGTTATGTAGGGTGTTATGTGGGGGTTATGTGTTGTGTTATGGGGGGTGTTATTGGGGGTTTTATGTGGGGTGTTTTGTAGGGGTTATGTGGGGTTTATGTGGGGTTTTTATGTGTTGTGTTATGTGGGGTGTTAGCTATTGGTCCTGTGTGATAACTACAGAAAGCCTTTTCCACTGTTTTAAAAACCTCTTAAGCTGGAGTGTTCTAGCAAAAAAGATTAAAATTAATTTTTCCTGGCTGTTTTTGGGTGCCAAATTTTTCCCCCATTTTAACCTGAAGAAATTGGTAAAAATTTTCCCTCTTGAAACCGGGAGTGAGTCAACACTATCTTCATGCCCCCGTGTTGATTTTAACTATTTTAAAAGCTTATGCTGCATTCTGTTTTTTTCATTTCTGCGCATTGGGTGGGGGGTGGTTTGTGAGATAGGGGTAATAAAATCGACTTTTTTATACTTAACAGGGGGGGGAATCCAGCGGGAGCAGTCGAGCTTGCTGTGGACAGTGCACTCGTCTGCTTGTGTGTTCCCTAGCTGCGCGGGTGTTGGCCCCTTGGGGGTGAATCATCCCTACCAGTGTCTGAAGGGTGGCAGTACCGCGTTGCAGGGACAGACACATGCAAGATGACAAGGAAATAGATGCTGTAGTTCCCGTTGGTCACAAGCTTGGAAAGGAAAACTGGGGGTGATGTATAAAATCCTGGACAGCATAACAACGGGATGAAAAAAGTGGGGTGCAATTAAAACCCCCCTCCCAAAGAGCGGGAGGCCCACAGACACAATAACTTAAACCTTGTAATTACCCCAAGAGAGGGCGCCATTGAGCTAATTTGATCATACTGTGATTTTACAGGATTTTAACCACGGGGAAGGGGCTGAGAAGAACATAGACATTTACAGAGAAAGACATGAAGAGAAAGGTAATATGGGCAGAGCATCGGTTCACAACTGGAAAATGGGGGTTCTGTCCGGAAATCTCCTAAGTGGGAACTGCAGGTTATTGGGCCCGTTGCAGTCGATCCCGTGGGAAAGACCTTGAACCCCCAGTAGGTATAAACTACTTGTTTAAAATTTCTTGGGTTACCCCGGGGTTTTTAATTCCCCCTGGGTTAGTGATTCAAATAGTAAATTCAGGCCTCCAAAGGGAAAAAAAAGATCGAAAGGAAGGAAGGAATAAGCCAGGTAGAATATGTGTGAAGTGGAGCAGAACCAGGAGGTACGAGGGGGCTTTGGAACCTCCGTAACCCGAGGGACTGGAATGGAAAAACTCACGTGAACCAGAGTCTGGGGGTGGAACACTCCGTGAATCGGGTATGGAATGGGAATTTCTCCGTGAACCAGAGGACTGGGAAAAGAAAACTCCCTCGAACCAGGGTACTGGAATGGAACACTCACATGAACAGGGTACTGGAAAGGAACACCACATGAACCAGAGGTACTGGAATGGGAACATCACGTGAACCAGGGTAGGAAAGAACACTCACGGAATCAGAGGTACTGGAATGGAATACTCAGGAATCGAGGTATGGAATAGAACACTCCCCCGAACCAGAGGGATGGAATGGGAACACTCACAGAACAGAGGTCTGGAATGGAACCCACATAACCAGGGTACGGAAAAGGAAATCACGTGAAAAACCCGAGGGACTGGGAAGGAACACTCACGTGAACCAAGGTACTGGGGAAAGGAAAAATCACATGAACCAGAGGTACGGAATGGGCACCACAGAACCAGAGGTACTGGAAAAGGAAAACTCACATGAACCAAGGTTCTGGAAAGGAAAAATTCCCCGAACCCGGGGGATGGGAAAGGAATACTACGTGAACCCGGGTTTTCTGGAATGAATACTCCTGAACCCCAAAATACTGGAAGGAAAAAATCCCTCGAACCAAGGTAGGAATGGAACACTCACATGAACCAAGGTTCTGGAATGGAACACCCCATGAACCAGGTACTGGAATGGAACACTCACATGAACCAAGGGTTTTGGAATGGGAAAATTCCTCGAACCCGAGGTACTGGAGTGGAATACTCCGTAACCAGGGTACCGGAAGGAACACTCCCCCGAACCCCGAGGTATGGATGGGAATACTCACGTGAACCAGAGGTACCGGAATGGAAAACTCCCCCGAAACCCGAGGGCCGGAGTGGAAACCACGTGAACGGAGGTACTGGAATGGAACACTCCCCCGAACCAAGGGATGGAAGGAACACCCCCCCGAACCCGAAAAAGTGGGTTGAACACTTTTTGAACAGTGGTAATGGAGAAGAACATTTGTACATCACTCAAAAAAATTACATTCTTCTCTCTTTTCGTTTTAATTCCCCCCAAAAATCCATCAATAATACCCGAAAACAAAAAATATATTAAAAAATTCATTTTGTCTTTATATTTTCCCTTTCCCTTTCTATAAAAAAAGGGAAAAGGCCTTTAATCAAAACAAGGGTTCGATAAAGCGTAAGCTGTCAGTGGCCCTATAAAACCCAAAAACAAGAAAAACAAATATAGTAAAAATTCCTGTAATTTTTTAAGATACACTGAGCGTGCCAAAATATAAATTATTTATGGCATTTGTCTGCCAAATAAATCAGAAGAATAAAGTATTCCCAAAATTTTTAAAATAATGGGGGGAGAATACTAAAAAATTTAAAAAGACAAATTTTCATGACAAGTGGTTTGTTTACGGCACTCGATTCCTTTTAAAAACAAAGTCGCCCCTAGGTAATATTCGTCCCCGGTGTAGAATTAAACTTTTATATGGATTCAAAAACAACCGGGTTTTTGTTTATTCTCTCATACTTGTGATCATCTGATGAGGAGGGGGGGACATTCGAGGGAAAAAAAAAAAAAAGTATTTGAATTTTTAAAGATTTTTTATGGTCAGGGAGAATTATGACTCATAACTACTTAGAAATTTCACTACGTGGTAAAGGGAAAATCTTAGTGGTGACCAGTCAAAGAATCATTATTTTGACGGGAACTTCATTGGCGAGTCGATTATTGACTTCCACACGGTAGATGGTCAAAACTGTGTTCTTAGCTTTACACCAAATATTTAAATAATCGACGAAAATTTTGTCTAAACATTTTTTTTACGTTCTTCCTGGGCGCTGGGGAGCAAGAAAAAAAAATTAAATGGCTATTTTGCAAAAAATTTTTAAGAGACGTGCAAAATCAATATATTTTTGTAAGTGGTTCTAGACACTAGAGCAAAAATATTAATGTGTGTAGGTGCATTAGCCTGTGTCTTTTTTTGCATGAGTATCGTGTCTAATATATGAGCAAGCGATAATAAATGTGGTTTTAATGGTCCTGATTTTTGAGTTACTGGGAAGATTTGCGTTATATTGCTGGTGTAACAATGTAACAACAACTGTGATTTAGAAGTTCAGGGAAGATTACACAACCTAACTCAGTTATTAGTATAGTGTTATCGGCAGTTATAAGTGCAGGGTTAACATCGCTTATTAGTACAGTGTTACCATCAGTTATTAGTTATACGCTATTGTTGGTAGTGGCCTTTTATCTTATAGTTAGACTATGTTAGACAATGGCTGTTAGACTATGGCTGTTAGACTGTGACTGTTAGACTATAGCTGTTAGTTAGACTATGTTATACTATGACTGTTAGACTATGGCTGTTAGACTATGGCTGTTAGTTAGACTATGACTGTTAGACTACGGCTGTATGCTAGACTGTTAGACAATGGCTGTTATTTAGAATATGACAGTTAGACTATGGCTGTTAGACTATGGTTGTAAGTTAGACTATGTTGTTTACACTATGGCTGTTAGACTATTACAGTTAGACTATGGCTGTTAATTAGACTATGGCTGTTAGACTATGGCTGTTAGTTAGACCATAACTGTTAGAATATGACTATTAGTCTATTGTTGTTAGATTATGTCTTTCAGATTATGGCTGTTAGACTATGGTTGTTAGTTAGACTGGCTGTTATACTATGGTTGTTAGTTAGACTGGCTGTTATACTATGGTTGTTAGTTAGACTGGCTGTTAGACTATGGTTGTTAGTTAGACTGGCTGTTAGACTATGGTTGTTAGACTATCGTTATTAGGCTATAGTTGTTAAACTATGGCTGTTAGCTAGACCAAGGCTGTTATCCTATGACTGTTAGACTATAGCTGTTAGGCTATGGTTGTTAGTTAGATTATGGCTGTTAGACTATGGCTGTGAGACTGTCACCGTGAGACAAGTGGTTATAGAAAGCCACTAACAGCAAAAGGAGACTTTCTCTTTTGCAACTTTCAAGCAACTTAAGAGCGTAACGTCGTAACAATAAATGGTCTCCTGTAAGCCAGTGGGCGAAATGAGGAGGTTATCAGACTGGTGCAGGATTCCTCTGTGGGTGCTTAGGATTCAGGAAGGAAGGCTTTCTGAGTCCAATATAGCGGCTGGGGAAGGATTCCTTCCACTGGCAGTGGGTGGTGACCGTTCTAGTGGGTGGTGGGGGCAGCGGGTGAGGTGTGTTCTAGCTACGTGGGGGGAATTCCTCTGTAACACAGTTGTCCTCAAATATTTGTTAAGTTATACCATGAATTAAATAAAGATCCTGGACTTCACCTTACGAAACAGACAAAGCAAATGTGATAGTAATTATGTACAAGGTAGATTGAAGTGGAAAAATGAATATGTTATTGGAAGACGGAGGAACTTAGGTGTCTCTTGCAAACAGACTTAACGTTACAGTAAACAGTGACTGGTGAAGCGTCCGAGTGTCTCGTGTGTTGGCAGGTTGACTGTGTCGGCAAGTGCCAGTTAATACATGACTGTCTTATTCTCTTATTTTTATTTACTTTTATTTTGAAATTGCTATTTAAAATGAGTGAACTTTCTAGCTCTCCTAAAAAGATGGTTTAAAAGTGGTGCAAGGGAATTTTGAAACTAGAATGGTTAAAAGATCCTCAGATAGACTGGTTGCAGGAAGAGTGCAGCGAGAAAGGGAATACTTACTGTAACTGATACAATATGAAAACAAATGCAAATAAATTTATGCTATTAGCGCATAATATATATATATATATATATATATATTATATATATATAATATATTATATATATATATATATATATATATATATATATATATATATATATATCTTTCTTTCAACACACCGGCCGTATCCCACCGAGGCGGGGTGGCCCAAAAGGAAAAACGAAAGTTTCTCCTTTTACATTTAGTAATATATACAGGAGAAGAGGTTACTAGCCCCTTGCTCCCGGCATTTTAGTTGCCTCCTACAACACGCATGGCTTACGGAGGAAGAATTCTGTTCCACTTCCCCATGGAGGATATATATATATATATATATATATATATATATATATATATATATATATATATATATATATATATATATATATATATATATTGTCAAGTGTAACGCTGGATACTTTGGCTAGAAGACATTAACCTACACAACAGGAGGAAGTAACTGAGGTAGACCTAACTATTATTGCTACTTTTATGTCTAAACATCATTTACCATTTACTCAGGTCGATCATCTGATGGAAATATGCAAGAAAAGTCTTTCATGATAACAATATTGAAAAAAAATAAGTATGTGAGGGACAGAATCATCTTATCTTATTCAAGAAGGAAGAGCATCTCACAAGATGAAAATTGCTGATATATACAAAAATAAAAAATTTTCGGTGACAGATGAAAGTATAAACATATTTGTATCTCAAACTATACCACGGGTGGGGTTCGAACCCGCGATCAGAGAGTCTCTGATCGCGGGTTCAAACCCCACCCGTGGTATGGTTTGTTTACAATCGTGTCATTACGACTTCGTGAGTCATCTTGTATGTCAAGTTTTGACAGATGTTGTGCCATATTTCGACACTCAGAAGTGTAATGTGTTCGTGATGGAGAACACGTGATGGAGAGGTGTATCAGGTAATAAAAGATATACAGTGGACCCCCGGTTAACGATATTTTTTCAATCCAGAAGTATGTTCAGGTGCCAGTACTGACCGAATTTGTTCCCATAAGGAATATTGTCAAGTAGATTAGTCCATTTCAGACCCCAAACATACACGTACAAACGCACTTACATAAATACACTTACATAATTGGTCGCATTCGGAGGTGATCGTTATGCGGGGGTCCACTGTATTAAATAAGATTGTAAGATTGTTGGTTCTGGAAATGATAATTATGTAACCAGGACGGGCAAGAGTGGGTCTCAAGCATTGTTAAAACAAGACGTAACATTTATATTCACACTGGGAAGCTTTTGTCATTGTTTAGCAGTGTGACAGTCATGTAGTTAAGGTACTACCATCATGCTTAGTAACATTCATCAAGGATATTTCTTCTTCTCGCCTAGCAGTAACAGAATAAAAGAATTTAGTACTAAGCAGGATATAACAAATACGGTAAATGATAAAATCCCATAACTAGCAGAAACACGTTGGTTATCTCGAGGCAATCTGTTTAAAGTGATTCTTGAACAGTGGGAGGCATTACCTTTATATTTTCAAAATCAATCTACAAATGACAAGTTAATGGAGCAAGTGTTGTGTACGAAGCTATAAGCAATGTTGGGACCAAACACATGATTCTTTTTCTAAATTATGTGTTACAAAAAGTCACAACTTTGAATATTGAATTCCAGTCTGAACATTTCAGACTCCATGTGAATCTTGAGTTTTTTTTTTTATTAAGTAAGAAGTCCTTATTTCTTTAAAAGTATGAGAAATTAACCCAAATAATAAACAGATTCATAACAAAAGCGATTTATATTTAGGTGTAAGATGTATGAACATTGTGAAGTCAATGCCACCTGGAGAAAATACTGAGTTTAGATTTAAAGTGTCTGCTTAAAATTTCTTGCTGAACCATGAATACAAATCTAAAAACGATTTGCCCTGAATTAGAAGGGAACTGTTGCTGACTTACAGATCTTAGATCCAGCAGATGATTGCATTTAAATCACCATTAAGTTAAGTTAGGTAAGGCTCGTCAAGAACACCATTGATTGCCAAATTAGCAATGAATTTTCACAACTGATACCTGAAAATCAATTAGATGATTCAGACGACGAATGGAGATCACTCCACCTATCTCAAGACACAGCACAGCACTCCCCGAATTACGGTATTACGGTATTCATGTCTTAAACGATGGAGTTTCATGACTCATTTCCCCTCAAGGAAGGTTCCTTGATGTTGGTGAGGGGCTCTTGATTTAAGGAATTGGATCTGTGTTCCAGTTCCCCGAATTAAGCCTTCCACATCCCCCGTCCCCCCAAGCGCTGTATAATCCTCCGGGTTTAGCGCTTCCCCCTTGATTATAATAATAATAATAATCATGACTCATTTAACTACTCTACCCATCTGCCATCAACGTTACGAAAATCGTTAACTGAAACAAAGAAGTCTGTCAAAAATAACGTTATATGAAGCTGATGAGACACGTTCAGAAGAATATTATATATTTTAGTCAGCCACAGCTGCCACAGTTGGTCTCTGAGAATGTTAAGCTTCTCATCTCACGTTGGCTGTTGATAATGTGAATTATCAGTAAATTTTATTGTATTGCTATTTATTTTTCTTGACAATCTGGGTGTTTTTAGGGGAAAAAATCTTAGTCTATTTCAAATTGCTGAGTGGGAACACTGGCCTGGGGACGACTCCATGGTAGTCTGAGACTATACTGAATGGGAGAGAATAGTCTGTGGCCCCTTCCTGGTAGTCTTGAAGCTATCCTGAACGAGGATAAGATTTTTTCCGCATTCCCTTCACATGCTCCTCACGACTACTCACGACCTCTTCACCAACTCTCTCTCTCCCACCCCCATCACCACCTCTACAAGAACTATTCAGAACTCACGAGCTTCCTATTCAGTTTTATACAAAGTCTCTTGACGTGTTAAATGTCCACTGGTATGCTCATTATCTGACAAGAGTAACATTCTCCAGTACTTCCCCAACACTTAAGCGGTCTCCAACACACTGCAGGGATCTCCAACACTTCTCCAACACACTGCAGGGATCTCCAACACATTGCAGGGATGTCCAACACTTCTCCAACACACTGCAGGGATCTCCAACACTTCTCCATCACACTGCAGGGATCTTCAATACTTCTCCAACACACTGCAGGGATGTCCAACACTTCTCCAACACACTGCAGAGATCTCCAACACTTCTCCAACACACCAGGGAACTCCAACACTTTGCAGGGATCTCCAACACTTCTCCAACACACTGAAGGGCTCTCCAACACTTTCCCAACACACTGCAGGGATCTCTAATACTTCTCCAACATACTGCGGGATCTCCAACACTTCTCCAACGCACTGCAGAGATCTCCAACACTTCTCCAACACACTGCAGGGATCGCCAACACTTCCTCAACACACTGCAGGGATCTCCAACACGCTGAGTGGATCTCCAACACTTCCCCAACACACTGCAGGAATCTCCAACACTTCCTCAACACGATGGAAATAAATGGTATAAAATACCGACACAATGGAAATATAAACACATATGCAGTATAATGTGATCCTTTATTGACAACGTTTCGCCCACACAGTGGGCTTTTTCAAGTCACAAACAGATCTTTGACTTGAAAAAGCCCACTGTGTGGGTGAAACGTTGTCAATAAAGGATCACATTATACTGCATATGTGTTAATATTTCCACTTCCTCAACACACTGCAGGGATCTCCAGCACTTCTCTAATACACTGCAGGGATCTCCAGCACTTCTCCAATACACTGCAGGGATCTCCATCACTTCTCTAATACACTGCAGGGATCTCCAGCACTTCTCCAATACACTGCAGGATCTCCTCACTCTCTAATACACTGCAGGGATCTCCAGCACTTCTCCAATACACTGCAGGGATCTCCAGCACTTCTCTAACACACTGCAGGGATCTCCAGCACTTCTC